CCTCTTTATTTACTTAATGTTCATACAATGGTAATTACAGACTGCCACTGAGAGGATAAAACTTGGGGTGAACGTGGCCAAAGTTCTTTATACACATATGGAAAGCATATGTTGAAACTGTTTTAAGAAGGAAGAATGAAGGAGAGTGAATAGTAGGTTAAACTGGGTTGGGGTATACATGTATGGAAATACCTAAACTAAGCCGTTTGGACATAAAATTTAGGATTGTAAAAATGGAAAATAATGCCAGTGAAGGTAGATATTGCTAAAATTTAAATGACATTTAAATGAAGGGAATTTGTCAATACCTATCAAATTACAAATGCATGTATTCTATGACCAAATACTTCACTTCTAGCAATTTATTTTTATACTCATATCTTTGCAAAACAGCTTGAGAATAAGGTTATTCATTGAAGAGTTGTTTATAATAGTGAACAAGTTGAAAGTCTGTCCATAAACAGATTTCAAATACATAGAGCTTCATATGATGTAAAACTATATAGCTACACAGAGGAAAATGAGAACGTTTTCAGTGAACTGAAATGGAAATACACCGTGGGGCACTGGTGGCCCACATCTGTTCTGGCTATTCAGTAGTCTGAGATACAGAAGACTTCAGTTTAAAGCCAACCTGGGTAGAAAAGCCCATGAGACTCTTACCTTTGATTAACCAGACAGAAGACTGGCTAGTGGTGTGGTTAAAATGGTGCAACATTAGCCAAGCAAACAGGCACAAGACACAAAGTTTAAACTTCAGTCCTTCTTTACACAGAGAGAGAGATAGATAGATAAGAGCATTATAAGGCTACAGAAAAGTGGTTATAGTCTTCTATCTGTATTAAGTACATTTGTGTTTTTGTTGTTGTATGCATAAAAATCTCAGGAAGAGGATGCACAGAAATCCTAAAATATGGATCACCTCTTGGGTTCAGGACCAAGATACTTAAGAGAAATGAGAATCACATTTGTCACACAATATTTTACCGTACATTTTGATTGTTAAACCATGTAATTATATCCTTTATTTTTAAACATAAATTTCCTACTGAGCTCTAAAGACATTTACAGTGTTGATGTGATGTATGTAGGCAATGAATAGCAAGGATTTGTATCTTTCTAATCTCAAGAGTTTTTATTTAACATATTAAGAAGATTATTGAAAGAACCATCAGCGACAGCATGGGTCTTGGAAGTATTACTCTGGAATTTTTTGGTCTCCCTGTAAAGTTACACAGACTTAGTTTTTGGCCTTAAGTCATACTTACTTTCGACTTCCTTGAAATCAAGAATATCCTGTGTCATACCAATTAAAGCAAGTGTACTTTCAATTAAAGGTGTTAAGTATGATCCTTGGAAAGTTTAATTCCTTATAAAAGGATGGCCTTCAGTAGTTATAACCAATTAAGGATTTTCCCAACTATATTTCATCATGATTGGACAAGTCTACTATTCACCATCAATTACTGTGATCTTTCCAAAGGTGAAGATTTTAGGTTCAGATTCATAAAAGAATAATTTGACCAGTCACTGGCAACCTCCATGACTGAACTGCAGCTTATATTGATAAAGTCATGGACATTACTTTTGTGATATTAATATTTAAATAATCAAGATATGCATAATGATACTCTGGGTACAGTTCTTGCACTGCTCTTCTCTTTAGTAGAAAAATAAATTTAACCCAGACTGATCAGGAGAGAAGCAAACAGTGTCACTAATAACTATTGAACCAGATTTCCCTCCTTGGTCATTTTACCATTAAATAACATTCATAGTACTTGCTTTCCTAGTGATTATTTGTTCTTATTGTGGTTCTATTTTAACCCCTTCTCATATATAGCATACATCAAGACTTACTAAAGAAATTAGTGCATCATGATTGTTTTATGGTAACATGAAAAATCTTGGGGAATGTTGCTTTGCCTCAAAAAGCAACATTAGGAATTTTCAATATAGAACTGTTAGTTCTCATTCCACCACTCATTAAATTTTTAAACTTGGAAAAATTCATTGAATATAATCACCTAACAATAGTAGAGATGAAGTGTAAGCAGAAAAATTATAAATAACAGAAAACAGCTACTACTTCTTTGCATATCTCAAAGGCTCATTGTTAGAATCAAATGAAATGACATGTACACGTGTGTAAACATACATATTATTCAAATGTCTCTTGGTACCTGAGAGGGATTGACACCACAAAGCTATATCTTCAACCTGAAAATAATTTTTGATTAAATTTATGTTGATACTGGGTGCCCATGGCTCAACACCTATAATCCTAGTACTCTGGAAGCTAAGATCTGAGGATTGGGTTGGAAGCCAGTCCTGACTTGCAGGAAGATCCATGTGACTCTTATCTCCAGTTAATCACTGAAAAAAACAGAAGTGAAGCTGTGGCTCAAGTAACAGAGCACTAGCCTTGATCAAAAGGAGTTGAAGCCCCAGGACCAGAAAAAAATACATTTATATAAGCTAATTATTTGTTATTTTCAAAGAAATTAATTAGCATTTAAATTTTTATTTTAACTTGTGATAGAACAAAATTTGCAAGATACAGTGACATGAGCAAAAACTTTATAGGGCCTAGATAACATTTTTTTTCTTTTGTGCCAGTCTTGGGCTTGAACTCAGCCTGGGCAATGTCCCTGAGTTTTTGCTCAAGGCTAGTGCTCTACCTCTTGAGCCACATTTCCAACTTTTCTTTTGTGTGTGTTTATATATATTTTTTTGTAAAAATACTGTACAGAGGGGTTACAGTTGCATGACTAAGGTAATGAGTACATTTCCTATTGAGTATTGTTACCTCCTCCTTTGTTTTTACCCTACCATCCCTTCTCTCCCCACCTCCCCACCTACTCCTCCCTCCTACCACCCCCTAAGTTGTAAAGTTCGTTTTCAACATAGTGTCTTGTACATCTCATTGTTACAATGAGTCAACCTATACCTTTATCTCAGCATTTTGTTATTTCCCTTCCCCTCTCCAAATTAGGAAAATGTACCTACAAGATGCAGGGCATTGGAATCAAATACAGTGCAAACAGGGGTTATACCATGGGAGAAGAACATACAAAAGAAACAAAAAAATCACATAGTACATTATAAGTACATTAAAAATAACAGCAAGAAAGATAAAACCCTCTTGTGTCCCTATCTTGGGGTTCATTTCACTTAACATCATCTTATATGGTCATATGTACATAGCTTTTGAACTTTTCTGCTTGTCCTAGACATACACTAGTTATTGCAAATAAGGGAAACAGTGGGACCTATGTTTCTTTGGGCTTGGCTTAATTCACTTACTATATTTTTTTCCAAGTCTTTCCATTTCCTAACAAATGGGAGGATGTCATTCTTTCTGATGGAGGCATAGAATTTCATTACACACACACACACACACACACACACACACACACACACACACACACACACACACACACACACACACACACACACACACACACACACACACACACACACACACACACACACACACACCACATTTTCTTGATCCATTCATCTACTGAGGGGCATCTGGGTTGTTTCCATATCTTAGCTGTGGTAAATAATGCTGCAATAAACATAGTTGTGCTGGTAGCTTTAGTAAAGCCTTGTTTGTGATCATTTGGGTAAATGCCCGGAAGTGGCATTGCTGGGTCATAGGGGAGCTCTATGTGGAGTCTTTTGAGGAACCTCTATACTGCTTTTCAAAGTGGCTGAACAAGTTTATACTCCCACCAACAATGCAGTAGGGTTCCCTTTTGGCCATATCTCCCCCAGCTTCTGTTGTCATTAGATTTCTCTTCTTTTGGAGGGAAGTTCATTGGAGATGAATTTCATGCTTTTTTCCTGCCTGATCTGGCTTTGAACCCTGATACTCAGATCTCCCTCTCCTGAGTAACTAGGATTATAGGCATGAGCCACCAGTGCCTGGCTTCTAGATGAATTTTTAAGAATGGAAAGAGGTTCTAAGACCAAAATGTTTGAGAACTGTTGATGTATAGAACACTATGCAAATATGTGGCGATCCTGGTTGTTTACTAAGGCACTTGAGACTTTTCAAACAGTGCAGCAGCAAACACTCAGTCCTTCCACTACAGGGGATATTTGTTTATGGCACACTCTCCCTCCAAGGCAGTGTTGTATTAGACTGAACATTATGATTATGTACAACTTCATGTGTGGGTCATGAATCTTCTTTTTCAAGGCAAGGGTCCACAATTTTCAGTTGTCAGATTCTCAGAATGTCCTAACTGAGGCATATAGTGATAGGAATTATAGATTACCTCTGGTCCCATTCTTTCCTCAAGAGAGTTGTGATCAAAACTGGGAAACCCAAGAGGATGATGGGAAAACCTGAGAGCAGATACCAAGTTACAGTTCCTGTTTTTTTCTTGAATGACAGGTGCACACCACTTTTTTTCTGTTTAGATGGGAACTTGATCTTTTTGCCCTGGCTTATTTCACTCCAAGGTCTTCCCAATCTCAGCCTCCTATGTAGCTGGGATTGAAGTATGAGCCAATAACATCAGGCTTTTAGATACAATTTTAAACTATAAAATATACTCTTGGTTTACTATTTTGTTCCATGAGTTAATGTATAATGCTTTTAACTCCTATTACTGAGACTACCTTCCCTGATTATTTACATTAAAATTTGTTTAATGAAATATTATTTTCCCAGGAAAATAATAGTATGAAAAATATTGAGGATATAATTTACTCTAAACTAAGGCTTCTAAAATTTTAATTATGAAATTAGTTTTAAGCTTACAAAAATTTTGGTTTGGGAATTTTATGATATAAGCATATTTGTATAAGTAAATTCCTTCAATTGTTACCATTATAATTCTTCCAGTGTAAGAAATACTTTGGGGTGAACTAAAACTATAAAATGCTATTTTATGTTAGCAGCATCTTGTAAAAATTGGAATTAATTTGGTTTGATTAAACCTTGCCTTATTAGTTTTTAATGTGCTGCATGTTATGTATTTCAGAAACTCCAGAAAGGAACTTAATGACATACGATTTGAGTTTACTCCAGGAAGAGGTAAGCTTTAATTGAAATTATTATTTTAGTGCTACAAACAGCATTTCAGAAATTGATTTCATGCATGTGGTTTACAATTTCCTATTTAAAAAAAAAATGCTTTGTCTAAACACAAAGGACGGAAAAGAGAAAGGATGATAGGAAGAAAATGCTTGTGCTAATTGCAAGGTTTTTGAACTGAATCACTAGTGACTACATAGATCCTAGCGACACATGTGACCCAGTGTATATACACATGGAAATTGGATCTGTTCGTTCAGCCATGGAAGTAAGTACTGGGATGGCAATACAGGGCCTAAGGGCCTGTGAGAAGCATTCGGCTTCCTAATGAGGGTGAGCTGCGTTGTGTCATCCCAAAGCCAATATATTTTGCCTCTTTGACCTCAGTTTGGTTACACAAAGCCTCTTCTGAGGAGTGACTGTGGCGTGGCCTCTATGGGCTGTAGGCATGAATGCAGTGCAAGTATTGGAAATACGTTATTACAACTTCCTATTGGCCAGACTGGTTGTTCCTTCATGTCTGGATGTCTGGAGTAAGAGGCATGTAGGATTATTATGTTTTCTTGCATTTTGCAGAGAGCCTAGTATGCAAGTAAAAATCAAGATATCTCGGTGGATTGACAGATAAATAATAACAAATAGTTTCCAGAGATGAAAAGATTAGTAGTTATTAAGAAAAATGTGTTTTCGTTAGTTTGTGGGTAACCAAAATAACTTAGAGAAGTAAAACTCAAGATACTCATGCTAAGATTATAACTGTTTCCTGAGTTCTGCACTCAGAATTTTATGTATTTGAAAATAATTTCTGCAGTGTCTACATCAAATATCTTTCTAAAGTATATTAGCCTCACACATTCTAATTTACTAATGCATAGAAGATGTAAGTACCTAATATTTATTTTAGCTATTGGAGCTTCACATACATTTCAAACTCTGAACAAGAATTTCTGGTTTGATAGCTGGTCAGTCAGTAAACTTCTTTGACCTTTTGATTATTATCACCTTCCAAGAACACTACTCCAGTGTCTCTAGGAGCCAAAGTAAAGGTGGGCATTTCAGGAATATAGAGTCCTGTCTAAATACATTCATGTTCAGAATTTTTTTAATGCTTTTAACAAAAGCCAAATGGAATATGTTGACCCATATCTGGTCACGGGCTTGCTCTGATTCTGATAGCTATTCCTCTGTAAAGGCAAATGATTTTCAGTATTTTTGGATTAAGCCCAAACATGAAATATGGTTTACAAAATAAGTATCTTCAAGGCTGTAATGAGTTTGCTAATTGATTTTTTTCTTTCCAGGTATACCCATCTGTAACAATTTAAAATCAGTCTATGAAATTGTATAGCACCAGTCAGGGTTATCAAAAAGACATCCACTTTGTCATTATATAAAAATATTGACCAGGCAGGTTTTTTTAAATAAAATACAGCAAGTAATTACATAATAAATGTTTCAAGTAGAGTAAGTAAAAAGAACAGATTGTTATTTTAAGGTTGTTTCTTTTCATTTGATAGTTTAAAATTGACTATAGCAATGAAAATTAATTTTAAGAAGTAAAGAAATTAGTTTCTGAGTTAAGGATATGTTTGTATAAGTTGGCTCTAACAGCATTACAACCCATTTGCAGGAGCCTTGGCAGCCCCATTTGCTGGGAATAGATGAAGAGTTTCTGCTTTTGTTGCTCAGACAACCATTAATTCTGACTTCCTATACTGGGCAGGGGGCATAAACTTGTTATGGTTGGGAATCTAGTGTTGGATGGCTGTACCAGTGTAACTCCTAATGCTGTCTGCATTTCAGATTGTCTACAGTGTGTCTGTGCATGCACACCACATATTCACTGTATCTGTGCTGATTGTAAGCATAAACAAGTATATGTGGCTGAAAATGAAACAGACACAAAGTATTTGCTGCTCTCTTTTGAGCATAGGCCTTTGTTTGCTCTGTCTTGTGTAGTCTGGAAAGCAGATGTTCATATATTATTACTTGTGTAGATATTAGGAACTGCTAAACAGCTTTAAGAAAGAGAAAATTACCAATGTAACATGATATAATTATTTCATTTAAATGTTATAAATTATTATGTGCATAGTAAAGGACTGTTACTCACAGACAGAGGATGGGTAAGAGTAATTCCCATTGTGGCCAGTTAGCATTAACCACTTGCAATTTATCTGGTGTCCAAGAGTCCTAAAAATAGAAGAACATGTTGCATACTTTAATCATTTGGAAAAGTCTATTGCTTTGGTGCCACTTTTTTTTAACTAGTCTTCAAATGCAGCTTTGCTTATCCTTTTTAACAGTATTCTATGGTCATAGTTCCTAGTCACAAATACAATTTTATTGATGCTTTAGAGATATTGTAACTCACTGAAATTCTTTAAAAATGATTGATCAATGAAAATGTAATGACTGCTTTTATGATATACCCTGCATACTGGGTGTTGGTCACTTCAATACTCTTCTGAGCAGTTGGATGGCATCCAAAGAAGATAGGGACTCTGTTTTTATTTTTATTTTTTTATTTTTATTTTGTGTCAGTAGTGGGGCTTGAACTCTGGGCCTGGGTGTTGTCCCTCAGCTCTTCAGCTCAAGGCTAGCACTCTATCACTTGAGCCACAGCACCACTTCCAAGATGGGGATTCTAAGACTCAATAGTCTATCATCTTCACAAAATTAACTTACCCTCAGAATAGTCTTTAATTCTCTTACCCTCAGGTCCATGATATGGGATCATATGATCACAGAGATTTTCTTTTTTTTGTACATTTTTTATTGTAAAAACACTGTACAGAGAGGTTACATGAGCAAGGTAATGTATACATTTCCTATTGAGCATTTTTGCCTCCTCCTTTGTTTTTTCCCTAGCATGCCTTCCTTCCCACCTCCACAACTAACACCTGCCCCCCTACCAAGTTGTAAAGTTCATTTTCAACATAATGTCTTGTACATCTCATTGTTTCAATGGGTCAACCTGAATCCCTATTTAAGCATTTTGTTTTTTCCCTTCCCCTGCCCGAGTTAGACAAGTGTATATACAAAGTGCAGGACACCCACATCAAATACAGTGAAAACAGGGGTTATACTGTGGGGGAGTAATATACAAAGAAACAAAAAAATATCACATGGTACATTATAAATACGTTAGGAACAATAGCAAGAAAGAAAACAAATATTTGTGTCCCGATCTTGGGGTTCATTTTGCTTAACATCATCTTATATGATCATATGTACATAGCTTTTGGCCTTTTCTGCTTGTCCTACACATGTACTAGTTATTGCAAATAAGGGAAACTATGGGACCTATGCTTCTTTGGGCCTGGCTTACTTCACTTACTATAATGTTTTCCAAGTCTTTCCATTTCCTAAAAAATGGGACGATGTCATTCTTTTTGATGGAGGCATCAAATTCCATTTTGTGTGTGTGTGTGTGTATACACATACATACATACATATTTATATATACACATACATACATACATATGTATATATATATGCATATATACACACACACACTGAGGGGCATCTGGGTTGGTTCCATATCTTAGCTATGGTAAATAATGCTGCAGTAAACATAGTTGTGCTGGTAGCTTTCGTATGGTCTTGTTTGTGATTGGGTAAATTCTCAGAAGTGGTTTTGCTGGGTCATAGGTGAACTCTGTGTGGAGTCTTTTGAGGAACCTTCATACTGCTTTCCAAAGTGGTTGAACAAGTTTACACTCCCACCAACAATTTAGTAAGGTTCCCTTCTGGCCACATCCCCTCCAGCATCTGTTGTTACTAGATTTCTTGATTATAGCCATTCTAACTGGGGTGAGGTGGAATCTCAATGTTGTTTTGATTCACATTTCTTTTATGGCTAGAGAGGTTGAGCATTTCTTCATGTGTCTATTGGCCATTCTTATTTCCTCTTCAGAAAAGTTTCTTTTTAAGTCTTTAGCCCACTTATTTATTGGGCAGTTGTTTCTTTGAGGATTTGTTGTTGGGGGACTTAAATTTTTGAGTTCCAAGTATATTTTAGATATACTTAGATTATATGTCTAGTGAAGACCTTCTCCCAATCTGTGGGCTTTCTATTAATCTTGCTAACTATGTCTTTGCCATGCAGAAGCTCTGCAGCTTCATGCAATTCTATTTGTCCATCCTTAATTTGATTTGTTGTGTTTCTGAGTCTCTATTAAGAAAATTTCGGCCTGTGCCAAGGAGACCTAGGGTTTCTCCTATTCCTTCCTGTAATATTTTCAGGGTGTCTAATTTGACTCCGAGGTCCTTGATCCATTTGGAGTTGATTCTGGTACAGGGTGATACATAAGGATCTAGCTTTAGTTTTCTACAGGTGATTAACCAATTTTGCCAGCACCATTTACTGAAGAGGTTGTCTTTCTTCCATTCTATTTTTTTTAGCTCCCTTATTGAAGAATAAGTGGCTATAGGTCTGTGGGCTCATTTCTGGGTGTTCAATTCTATTGGTCCTGAGGTCTGTTCTTGTGCCAGTACCAAGCTGTTTTGATTACTATGGCTTTGTAGTAGAGTTTGAAATTTGGTATTGATATTCCTCCAGCATTGTTCTTTCTGTTAAGGATCATTTTTGCTATTCAGGGTCTTTTATTGTTCCATATGAATTTTTGGATTGCCTCTTCTATTTCCTTGAAGAATGAAGTTGGAATATTGATAGATATCACATTGAATTTATAGATAGCCTTTGGAATATTGCCATTTTCATGATGTTGACCCTTCTAATCAAAGAACATGGGAAGTTTTTCTACTTCCTAAGTTCTGCTTTAATTTCCTTTTTCAGGTTAAAGTTTTTATCATAGAGGTCCTTCACTTCTTTAGTTAATTCCTAGGTATTTTATTTTTTGTGGGGCTATTACGAATGGAGTTGCTTTCCTGATTTCAGCCACACTTTTCTCATGTTGGCATACAGAAAAGCCATTGATTTTTGAGGGTTAATTTTATAACCTGCTCCTTTGCCAAAGTTTCAAATCAGCTCGAGTAATTTAGGAGTGGAGTCCGTGGGATTCTTTAAATAGAAGATCATGTCATCTGCAAAGAGGAAGAGTTTTACTTCATCTTTCCCTATTTGGATCCCCTTTATGTTTGCATCTTGTCTTATTGCTGTAGCTAGGCATTCTAATATTAAGTTGAAGAGTAGTGGAGAGAGTGATGTCCTACACATAGAAAACTAACAAAAACACAACAAAGTCCAAGAAACCACACCCAGACTGAAAGTATTCTTATATCTCTGACAAAAGAGGACAAGACCTAACACAAGCCTGCCTTATATGGATTTTCATGATTTATGAAGATCTATGTGCTTCTTCATATTCTATTTTTATTATGGAATATAATCAGTAAAGTGGTAGGATAACACATCTTTGCAAATATAAAAAATATACAGCTTTCAATTTTTTATTAGAAATTTTACTTGGGGAGTTCAACTACATATGAAAAGGAGGAATAGCATCCACAGGAGTGTAAGGTACAGAGATTACTTCTGGCTGTGCCATCATCATTATTCCTATTACCATTTTTTAAGTATTTACTTGGTCAGACACTGGGACAAGCACTTTAAACCCCAAGAACTACAAAAGACAAGGAACCTCCAGCTGCACACTTCCATATATCTATAATGGCCATATCTCGCTTATGCTTAGGGAAGCTTCTGAGTTGACAAACTGCTGCTCAGCTTTGATGCTTGCATGATTCAGCAGCTATACTTGGGAGGACACTCTCAGATCATCATCCACACTGTTACATTCTGCTCATATCCAGCAATTGTTCTGGAAGCCAGAGAAGATCAGAAGGCTTTGGGGACAAGTCATCTCCTTTGAAAAAACACAGGGTCTTGTATGGTTTTTTTGATCATATTGCACTTTCTCAGTTCTCCTTTACAAAGTCTTCAAATAAAAGATAACAGAGTTGGGGGGGAGTTGGAGAGTAGAGGAGGGAAGGGATAGTGGGAGAAAAAGGAGGGGGGAACAATGCCTGATGAGAAATGTACTCATTACCTTACTGATGTAACTGTAACCCCTCTGCTCAGCATCTTTACAAGAAAATAACATTTAAAAAAGAAGATAACAGAGCTATCATGTTCATTCACAACCTTTCAATTAAGTAATTTCAGTTACATTCACTTGTCACAGCCTGTTCTGTCCCGTCTTTATGAGATTGCCAACCCCAGTCACTTACCACTGTGAAAACACATTATTTTACTCAACCACATTTTCTAAGAGAATGAATCTGTTGCTATCAAATGATCAATGTCATGTTAAAGGAGTTCCTTGAGAGCATAAATTCAAATAGTTCATCGTAATAGCCCAACAAGCTGGTGGACTGTTTATACTAAAGCTAAGGTTGTATCAGATGTTACCCATTCAACCTTTGCCATAAATTCTGACTCACTAGCTTCTAATGATAAAAGAGAATTGATGATAGACAGGATTAACCTTGTCAAGAAAGAAAAACAGTGTCATAGGAAGTCTTTATATCTTCTAGAGATGTACCTGAGGATTGATTCAGATGGTGGTCAGAAGGAAAAAGTTTCTTTACCAAAAATGAAAAAAGAATTTTGTGTAGCATCTGTTGAATAAATAGCAAGATGTAAATTGTACTTGAGAAACTGTGTTTCATGTTGCTTCTGATTTTTTTCTCCTGATAGACTCTGAATTGTTAAATTAAAACTCAGGTAATTTTAGCAAATGAAAAGTATATATTGTACATTGTGGTGGGTTGTTGATTTTTAATTTTGTGGTTACTAACATATTCATTTCACTTTTGGACAGATACGGCAGATGGTGTATCTCAGGAGCTCTTCTCTGCTGGCTTGGTTGATGGTCACGATGTAGTTATAGGTAAATTGTTTTTTGTATACAGTGTCATTTTATTGATATATCATATGGAAATGTATTTAGAACAAAAATATTCATTTCTTAAGAAATAAATAGTTCAGCCGGGTGCTGGTGGCTCACGCCTGTAATCCTAGCTACTCAGGAGGCTGAGATCTGAGAATCGCAGTTCAAAGCCAGCCCAGGCAGGAAAGACTGTGAGACTCCTATCTCCAATAAACCACTAGAAAACCGGAAGTGTAGCTGTAAAAAACCGGCGCTGTAGCTCAATTGGTAGAGCACTCGCCTTGAGCTGAAGAGCTGAGGGACAGCGCCTAGGCCCAGAGTTCAAGCCCCATGACCGACAAAAAAAAAAAAAAAGAAATAATAGTTCACTCTGAATTTTTGAAAATTTTTCATTAATTATAATCTTATGTGAAAGGATATGTAATAATCATATTTAATTGTCTTTCTTCACAAGCTCTTAATGTGATTCTCTCTCTTTCTCTCTCTCATATATCTGAACATAAATATATCTAATGAGACGCCTTACTCATTGGATATACCACAAATAATCCAGAAGACCCCAAAAGCCTATAATCTATCAAACATCAGGTGGTGTAAATTCTGTGCACCAAAGTGTGGGAACCTCCAGACCACTTTTTCAGTTTCTTTGATCTTCCTATTCAACTTTGATGTTCACTGCCCCAGCTGTTAGAAGCAGTCATCACAAAGTCTTGAGGTTAGGGGAGGAGCTTAAAGTTCAGTCAGGCTAGACATTTTGTTCTGTAGTTTAGAAAATGAATTCCTAAAGAGATTCAGTGCTTTGGGTTGTGGAAGAATCACTTTACTCTGAAAGCATGGGCCTTTCTATCACATTTAGAATCAAAAGAAAGCTGCATGGAGCCAGGAAAGCCTGCTAAGCTTGGGCATGCCTACAAGACTAAGCAAGCATGCAGATGTGCCAAGGTAAATGAGGTAGAAAATCAGTAAAGTGTAGACAGATATCATATGGTTTTGCCTAAACAATGTTAGGGTATGTATCTGTTATATTGTAACATACTTATAGTTATGTAGTTATATAGTTATAACAGTATAAATAGCCTGTGTGGACATCACACCAGGACTTTATAGACAGTGTTTTATGTTTCATTTGATAATTATATCAGTTCTCTCAGATAGAGAGGATTGGTTACTTATTACCACTATTTTGTTGGCAAAAAAAAAAATCCCTAAGGTTAAAAGACGTGGAGGTTAAGTCAAATGTGGAGATCCTTAAATTTGTAGCCCCTGAACTTCAAGTCCTTGTCCCTCATTCTAATATCCTATATAGGTTATCTGCTGTCTCCCACCATATTAAAATATGTTTTAACTACAATATGTAGCCAGAAAGTGTCTGTTTCTCTATAGTGCAGAAAAACATGGATGGATCCAGGAAATTTTTAATGATAGCAATTCTTGTGTGTCCCAGGAATAAAACAGTTTAAAGCTGATGTCATTTTAATTGTCCATTAGTTGACAGATTAAATGTTTGATCCTCTCCCCTAACCAAGAAAGTTCTGCTTCCCTTGTTTTCTACTTCTTTCTTCACTGTATATGTGCCACCAATGTATGGATATATTTTCATTTTTCCCATTTTAAAAAAAGAAAGGCCTTCCCTTAACACTACATCTTGATGCAGCTATTTTCCTCTATCCTTTTTTAGCTAAAATTCTCAAAAGATTTGCCCTTGCTTTTAATTCCTTTCTTTTTTTTACTTTGTCTCTGGAGCCCACTTCAGATAGATTTTTGACCTCTCCAGTCCACTCAAGCTGTTTAATTTTTCTTTCAAAACTTTGTCCATTTAAGATTAATCTGGCAGATGAGATGGCAGATGCAGAGTTGGCTAGGGCAGAATGAAGAGTGAACAAGCTGGGAAGTAGCAGACCTATGCTGTGAGAATGACTGCCAGCTCCTAAATCTGAGTTTTTTTCTCAGTCCTCATCTTTCCTGACCCTTAGCAGCACTGGAAATAGTGGACAGGGCCTTCTCCCATGATAGGTGGTTCATTAGTTTTAGAATTCCATCCTTTCTTGATCTTCTCACCATACTGGTATTTTCTTCTCAGTGATTTTTTTTTTAGCACTGTTCATTTTGCTGACCTGTAAATCTTGATGTGCCCAAGCACTCTGTCCCTGGGCTATTTCTCTTTCCAATAGGCACCCCTTTGGTCAGCTCATCCAGTTTAATGGTATTAAATGCCTTCTATTCCCTAACTCATACGTTTATATCTCTGACTCAGACTTCTCCTTTCCATTGTAGAAGCATATCCAGCTCCCATTTTAGCATTTTTACTGCAAGGGCAATAGATCATCCAAATTTTAACTCACATCTTCAAAATCCAGCTCTTGGTGTTTCCTTTCAGCCTGCTTCTACCAGTAGTCTTATAATCTTGGGTGAGTCAGCTCCAATTTTCCAGGTGCTTAAGCCAGTATCTCGGAGGTATCCCAGATTCTTTCTCTGTCCTTTTCATCCTATTCTCCATCTCCACAGTGAGAGAGAACCTGGTAGTAAGTCAGAAACAGAAGGTCATGTGATTCCATATGAGAAATATCTAGAGCTGGAGACAGCATAGAGATTCTAACTTTTCTCCTGTGGCTCAGGCTGCCTTTAAGCTTTCTGTATATTCTAGACTACACTCAGACTCATAATCCTCCTGCCTCTGCCTTTCCAATGCACCTCCACACCTGGCTGACCATCAGGTTCTTGGTGGCCAGAATTCTTATCGACTTTCTAAAGTGCTACGTGTGCAGTGCCCCAACATAGTCATTTCTCATAGTGGGCCCTCAGTAAACACTTGTCAGAGATAAACAAATTCTGTTTTGCAATACACAGATAGCTCAGAATCCTTTCTTCAGAAATAAAGTGTACTTTTGAATATAGGATACTATAAAATTCAAGTAGCATTTCCAAAAATCAAATAAACTCACTCGAGGAAGGCTGTGTAAAAGAAAAATCCAATTCTTATAGAGGTTTGAATGATTTCTTACATGTGTATTTCTTCTACTTCTATAATATAAAATTGCTAACATTTAAATAGATTAAAAATCTTGTATTTTTCCCATCAGCATTTTCTTTTGACTTGGTATAAATGCTTATAGCAGCATGTAAAAGCTAAAAAAAGCAATAGCATCTATTTTGCAGCAGTGAATGTTATGGCTTTTACTATAACATAGAAAACATCGGTTACAAAAAATTCTTCATTACCTGGCTTCTGGGCAATCTACAAACCTTTACAAAGCACAGTTTGCATTGAGGACGGGCTTGTGTAGTGACATGCAATGACTTCTTTTGTGAAGGAGCTGGAGAGAAATGGAATGCAGTGTTTGTAGTATAAAATCATAAGCCCTGTTCAGTTGTGCTTAAATTCAGCACTACCTTGGGCAAGAAGCCGGAAATGGTTTTAGGCCTTGTATAAGTAGACATTCAGAAGATTGTCAGTACCTTCTGGGTGGGTGTTGGTTTAAAAAAAAATGTTTGTGGGTTGAAAAAGTCGATGATACGCATGTATACATTTGCTTATCTTGCCTAGCTGGGTTGGCTAAAAAATGTAAATAGACCAGATCTGAGCCTCTTTTCCATATATTTCAAAGAGGGTTCCCAAGGAAGACTGATAGTGTGAAGCTGCAGAGAAATGCCTTCCCCTCCCAGTTAAAAAGAAGCCCATTAAAAAGAAGGTTTTTCTGCAAGGCAGCACAGGCGGGAAAATAGAACAACAAAAAATTCAAATGTGAAAGAACACATCCATTCTAAATACTGTTCAGGCCTTGAGATACATGGTGTTTTTCTTTCTTTTTAATGAGATTTAGGACCTCAGCATCAGGAGGATGACTGGGAGGGGGTAGGTTAAAGTGAAGCAGTTGTATTACTTGCAGTCTGCCAGGCCCAGTAGTAGACTGTGTGAATGTGTAGAAGAGGAAGCTGTTTGGCAGATGTCTTCCAGAAGAGTGAAGACTGAAGGCTCTTGCTACTTTTTTATGTCACTGTTTCCTGGCTTTACTGTAACAATGTATGTCTATTTCACTGAAGAGCCAGATGTTAGCATTTCTGTCTCCTAAGAGGGAAGCTGTATTTTTGCAGTCATTTCGCAAAGTTTTCCTCCTATAGATACTGAGCCTGGCTGACTAGCTGTCACTAAAGCAAAGTTTCTTTGGATAGCACATGTTCCCATAAGCTCTCTGTGGGGCCTTATGAACATATTGTTTATGTGCATGGAATGCTCTTTGTCTGCTCCTGAAGAATTGTGTTCAAAACCTATTTGCCTTGCAAGATATGACACCTCCATGTGGCCTGCCCTGCTGCCTGTCACTTCCTTGCCACAATATGGAGGACAGCTTATTCTTGTCTAGAATCCCTGAGAAATAGACTTTTACCATTTTGTGGCATGCAGTTTTCATCCTGCTGTACTACCTAGTGCTATCTTTTAGGGCCTGTCTTCCCTGTTATGATGATCCTTGCCACACATAGGTGCTGAATAAATAGGATAACAAGATCCATTTGATAAACTTAGCCCTCAATGAACATGTGAATTAATACATTTGGACAATTCAAAAATACCTAAAAATGAAAGTCATCATTTTCTCATTTTTTCTTTTCTCTGTGGCCCCTGTCCTTCCTTTCTCCCTCTCTTCTCTCTCCCTCTCTACTTCCCTTACTTTCCTCCCTCTTTTTCATTCTTCTCTCTGCACTCTCTCCCTCTCCCTCCATCCTTCTTTCTCCTTCCCATTGCTTTTTTCTCTCAGGAATTAACTTAGCACATGACTTTTGAGTTTCACTTTGGGGCAAGGAAATATAGTTGACCTGGGGTCGTCTTTTATCTGTTAGTGTTTCAAAGGTGGACTGTGAGGTCTCCACATCAGTATCTTACCAGGGAAACTTACTAAAAATGTATATTTGGGAGGGAACAGGTAGGGAAGAGCAGGTTCCAGCATTAGAAGTCTTGGGCTGAGGATTTAGATGCTAGTACTTTAAACAAACATCCTAGAAAC